GTCGCCTCTTTCGTCTTCCTCTTCTGCCTGGAAGCTTGTCTGTGGGTCAGGAACTTCAGACGTAAGAGGAGGCTGCCTGGACCCTTCGCCTGGCCGGTGGTGGGCAATGCCATGCAGCTGGGACAAATGCCCCACATCACCTTCTCTAGACTGGCTAAGAAGTATGGCAACATTTACCAGATACGACTGGGCTGCAACGACATTGTGGTGCTGAACGGGGACGCCGTCATCCACCAGGCACTCATTCAGCACAGCAAGGAGTTTGCGGGAAGACCCAACTTTGCGTCATTTCAGATGGTGTCAGGAGGCAAAAGCATGACGTTCAGCAACTATAGCAACCAGTGGAAGATGCATCGCAGAATCGCTCAGTCCACCATCAGGGCTTTCTCCTCGGCAAACAGCCAGACCAAAAAAGCATTTGAGCAGCACATTGTCGCGGAAGCCTTGGATCTGGTCCAGGTGTTTCAAAAACTTAGTGCAGATGGAGGACATTTCATTCCCGCTCATGAGCTAACAGTAGCTGCTGCCAATGTCATCTGTGCCCTCTGCTTTGGGAAGCGCTATGGACATGAAGACGCTGAATTCAGAACCCTCCTAGGCAGAGTTGACAAGTTTGGAGAGACGGTGGGTGCAGGGAGCCTGGTGGACCTCGTGCCTTGGCTACAGTCTTTCCCCAATCCGGTGCGAAGCGGGTTCTTAAGCTTCAAAAAACTGAATAATGAATTCTTTACATTTGTGAAAGACAAAGTGATCCAACACAGGGAGACCTATGACCCCGAAGTGACCCGAGATATGAGTGATGCAATCATCAGGGTCATTGACAAATCGCGCAGTGACACCGGACTGAAGGAGGCTCACGCTGAAGCCACAGTTACAGATCTGATTGGAGCGGGACTGGACACAGTCTCCACTGCTCTGAACTGGATGCTTCTGCTCTTGGTGAAATACCCTGATATTCAGACTACACTGCAACAGCAGATTGACAAGGTCGTTGGCAGAGACAGACTCCCTTCGACAGAGGACAAGAAAAACCTGCCCTACCTGGAGGCCTTCATCTATGAAACCATGCGCTACACAAGCTTTGTGCCCGTCACCATACCCCACTCCACCACCTCTGATGTCACCATTGAAGGTCTGCACATCCCTAAGGACACCGTGGTGTTCATCAACCAGTGGTCCGTCAACCACGACCCAGAGAAGTGGAAAGATCCCGAAGTCTTTGAGCCCTCCCGCTTCCTGAATGAGAATGGTGTCGTAAACAAGGACCTGGCCAGCAGTGTCATGATCTTCTCCATCGGAAAGAGGAGGTGCATCGGTGAACAGATTGCCAAAGCTGAGATCTTCTTGTTCACGGCCATCTTACTGCACCAGTGCACTTTTGAGAACAGCCCTATGCAGGACCTGACCATGGACTGCTCCTACAGCTTAGCACTAAAACCTCTCAACTATACGATCTGTGCCAAGGTTAGGGGGAAATGATTTAATGGGGCATGAAATCAGAAATCCCTGCTTTGAAATATTCTCATACATATCTGAGTAGAGTAATGGAGTACAAGGTATGTACTTTACAAAGTAATTGATCCTTTTTTGTGCTGCCATAAAATGTCCTGTGTTCTAGTTTTCTTTACATAATAATTTACTTAAGTTTAATATTAACAGACAGTAAATAAAGACTGTTACTGTAATAAAGTGGCTTAAGAGCAAATACAATTTCAATCAATAAAAAAGATCTTTTCAACTTCCCTCAAGCATGCAAACAATAGCATCTAAATGGCACTTTCAACCTATGTAAAGAGGCAGCTGTAATCTCAAGCATGTGGATAATGTCAAACTTCTTACAAATTCACTTTCCACCGCTTCAGTAATCCTGTCACACGTTCATGCAGATCCCCGTCTGCGGCAGGCCATGTTCAGAATGCATGTAAAACTGTCGCTAATGCAGTCTCATGCTCTGATGTGGGGACTCCAAACCGCAGCTTGCCATAAAACTTAGACCTCCGTTGCAGAATGCACATTAAGTGGGTGGCTGTTCTTATCTGAAATGACACTGGGGAAACGCGCAGTCCAAGTTCCGCTATTACGATGCATATCGGGGCAGTTACCACAAATTACAGCCCACCTCCTCTCCCCTGTTCAGCCTCAGGGTGGAGATGGTCCAGGCCTCACTGGTTTTTCCATTTTACTATCAGCTTGGTGCCAGAGCCCCCTTGATGCCCCCAAAAATACACAACACTGATGCCTTACTCTTCCCTTTTATCAAGTTTTGAGAAACGTGCAAGTTAACTAAATGCAGAACAGGTACAAACATGGTTTGGTGCATGGGTAGATTTTATTATCCTAACCGGTAATCAAAACACATGAATAAGTTTGAAATGTTTGAACTGACTAGAATAATAATTAAAATGTATTTAAAAGCACATGTGTGCATACACCATGTACTCAGATTGTCGTCGTAATATTGCATGCATGTGAACATCTCACAACATCATGCTCTCTTGTCTTGCTGCCCGGTGTCCAAGAAGCCCAGAGCCCAAAAAAGGTTTTCCATGAGGTTATTAATTGCTTTTATTCACTAGGGTAGATTTTTTCATGGAAAATCCAGGGAATTTGATTTCAAGAGAAAAGATGAATACATAACAGACAGAGGGAATTTCTTCAGCTATAGAACAACGGCCAGATTGTTCCCAATGAAGAAACAGCTTTTAGCATTATAGCCAGCATCATGGCTCAGTGTCTCTGTCCATCAACGATATTGAAGACCCGCATTTCATGGGAGGGGTTATTTAACAGGCGGCTGACCTCTCCTGCTGACTGAAAGCCCCGGGGGCCCCCTCTGAGGGAGGCCCATGTTCACCATGGCTGTATCCCAGACGCACTATTGGCCACACATGAGTCCTGCCCTGTTTCAGGCTGCTCTCTGGTGCGACACCACAGGGATCCGCTTGGAGGTGGTTTGGATGCGGACACAGAAGAAACCGCAGTACATGCCTTCAAAGTGAGCCATCAGTCAGCCCTGCCATGAACGCAGTCTGCTGAAAGACTCCTTCAACCAGAGGCTCTTTACTTGGGTCCATCTGACCTAAGGGCCCTGTTCCCCGCAATCCCCTCCCCCAATTGGAAAAATCTACACCAAGCCTAACAGTGTTTTGCTTTTTTTTCCTCTCAATTTCCTCACGTCGTGCACGTACACATAGCCCTACAGTGAACTCCCCCACAGGCCACCCCAGGCCACCCGACAATACCAGATGGACCAACACAGTACAGGCCTCCTCCATTCACAGTACTTGCTACTAGCGTTGCCATAAGACTCATTAAAGGGGCATGTGGTTATTCATGACTGTTGCTGGAATTGGTCCGATGTGAATAAACAGCCGGGTCAGATCCTTCGCCTGAAAGGGTGTGATACATATAACAGCAATGTGACAAATATGTGAAGGGATGAGAGGGACGGGACAAGGCTGACCTCACAGCAGCATCTCCAGCCCGGCAGTATGGAAACTTCTGGGAAACAGCCTCTTCTCTGACTTCCACTGACTTGCTGCATTTGTCAGCCTCTATAGGTTACAGTGACTGATGTAATTACACAACTAGTTCCCCTAAAGCTAAGAGCGCTTTTCCACTGCACCAAGTACTGTACTTTTGGTACTTCAAAAAAAAAAAAACACCAAAAGTATGGTACTTCAAGGTGTTGGTTTTCCACTGGCATAAAAAACTGGTACTGCCATAGAATGACATCACAATGTGAGGTGAGATATTTAGTGCTAATTTAAAAAAATGGCAATAGTATATTATTGGACAGGGTGATGCGCGATATTAATGCCAACATCGCATGTTATACACATGCAATTCTCACACCGCAAAGACCAAGATAGTCAGCTGGGTTTAGATCAGACTTTCATACCTTCATACTGTCCAGACATTATGGTATGGAAGGTTTAAGTTTCACTAAAACATTTTTACTCTATCACAGGAAACAAAACTTAGCAAGCATTGCAATTTTAATGACTGTTCCTTTTCAAGATTATCTAGTATATCTGTTTAAGATTTACTGCTGCTGCAATTGCATGAGCGCTGCATGCGTTCTCCAAGCCAATCATTTTTATCTTTACTGTTTAAATCACTCCTAGACAGGTTTGAGAAAATTTTTTCAACTTTTTTTTGTTGCTTTATAAATATACCAATATTTATTGCAACACAATCACATTGCATTATCTGATTTTTTCCAATATTGTGCAGCTCTAGTATATTACAGCAGATACTTTTTTGTATCTTGTCATGCCATCCAAATCTTCTTCTGGTTCTTCCAGCAGATCACAATTAAAGCTTGGGCGTCTTCATTTGTCCACGCATACATTATTACTACATACTTTTTTTTTTACACTTCATTTATTATTGTTTTCTGAGTGCTCATTGCCATTTATTGTTGTTTTCTTTGTGCTCATTGCCTAACCAATCGACAATGCACACCTCAAAGCTCAGAAGTGCCAAAAAGTACCCCAGCTGGTTTGGTACTTTGGTTACTGGATTTTTGGTACTGGTACTTGACTGGAAGTCAATGGAAAAGGGAAAGTACCAAAAGTACAGTGCCTGGTTCAATGGAAAAAGACCCTAAGTGCACAGCAATGTCCATAAAGGATTCATTTCTAATACTGGGAATACTGAAGGGCACCCTGGAGTGGGGTGCCAGAGAGAACCCAGCCATGACTCCTGTTCAGGATAAGATGCTTAATGAAATAATGAAACTGTCTGAACATAGAAAGACAAGGAGACTCAGGCCCTGGGGATTCCTGTTTGGTCCAGGAGGAGTGCGAGGGACTTAACTGGACAGCTACCCTGACATCAGGCCGTCCCTGGTGCCCCCCCCCAGCCCACAGCATATTGGAAGGGAAGGTGAATGGCGCTTTCAGACCCCCCCCCCCCCCCGTTTCCCATTACCTTACCCATTCCCGCTGCCTCCCCCATATGCTGAATATTGAATATTAAGAACAAACCAACACAGAAACATTTTGTGTATTTATTATCTCATTATATTTCCATGGGAATTTAGATTTCTTTATATTTATGATCAAGTAAAATGTTCTAGAGATTGCTGAACACATCCATATAAGAGTTTGAGACAACGAGAAAACAAACATTCAATATGCATCAAATAATAGATTACTGCATGTCAGTTCGACAGAACATTAATTTAATGGTAATAACCACAGAATGTTTTAATTTACAAACTCCCCTCAAATACAAAATATGACAATATGAAATAATGTAAGTTAAAAAAAAAGGTTTGACAGCTTTGGAATGCCAACAAAGTTCACTGTACTTGCTAATGATGCAGAATCAGACCCCATCATATCATTTAATTTTTCAGGGCATTCTAACACATGCTATCCTTCATTCCTAATGATCATTTAATCTCAAGCATCTCCATGTGCAAAACTGACCCCTGATTTAATGGTGCAGCAGCTTAGGAACCTATCATGTACACACTGTCAAACAGCAAAACTGTACAACAACAGGGACACCCTGACAATTTCCCTTAACTGTACAAAAAATATGGAATTTCAACAAATCTGGAACCACTGCATGTTTTAAAAACATACACACACACACACACACACAAACACAAATTCAACCACAGCACAGATGGTGATAATCCCGGCACATAAACGAATTTGTTAAAATGCAGTCATAAAAACCTGCTGTTTTAGGTGCTCTTCTCCTTCCCAGTCAGTCCCAGTCAGTCCCAGTCAGTCCCAGTCAGTCCCAGTCAGTCCCAGTCATACAGTCGCGTCAGATGTTCAGGAGAAATACTAACTACAGGCCACAGTAGGACTGAAGTGCCGAAATCTGCGAAAGCTACAGAAGCTGACCTCTGACACCATCGAAGTTCTGAGGTGGGAAACCTTTGCTTGGCATTAACCAGCAAACCTACCGACCTTCTGTGGCAAAATGTTTAATTTGGATATAGTACTTTCCCATGGTGACTCAGATTTGACGGCAGTGAGTCTCTTTAGCCAAATCCATCAACACTGGCACTAGTTTTTAACTAGTGTTTAACCTAGCACACCTTAAACCAAAACCAACACATCAGCTGAGACCTTAAATCCTCAAACACATACCTGCCTGGAGATCAGCATGCAGATGGAAATCCAACATCAGCACCCACAATCCCCAGCACTCACTTCACTTCCTGTCTCCACAGCACAGTGTATGAGAGGCAGGAGCTGAATAGAGAGGTGTTCCCTCTTCATCCACATTATTCTCCTTCCCAACCACCTCTACACAATCATAGAAAAATTAATTAAAAATAAAAAGAATCAGCAGAATGACTTCATGGTTCACAGAAAGTGCACGGCTCGATTTTCAGCCCTCGCCAGTACAACGTGCCCTCACGCCAAAACACACTACTGTAGTGGTTATTCAGAATTCGCAAGACTAAAAATTACATTCCCTATACCAGATACAGATTCCTGCGGGCATGTTTGAGGTGATTTCCCATGCAACACAAAGGCAAATGGGAAAATTACATTTTACAGTGGTGCATAGCTTTGGTTAACATATTTCTAAGGACAAAAAGAATGAGGTGATTTCAGAAGACATTACTCTGATTACAAAGCGGACACACTCTGTCGACAAGGATAACGCCAATGTTTTACGAGAACAGTTATAGAAACAGGAAGCCAATTAGTGTAGGAAAAATTAAAAAAGGGAAAGATAATTTCTGTACTCAGAGCAAAGACAGACACAGCTATAACAAAGAGTAACTACAGCGCCTAATGACACAAACCCCAAACAAGGCAGGCGGGAGTTTTTTCTTGAACTTAACTGGTTGTCATTTTTGGCACCGGTGTGGAGAATGTCAGCTCCTGGCTGTGAGTGCAGCGAGGCCTATCCTTCCTTTAATTGGTCCTCCACGTCTCTAAGCAAGTCAATCGCAGCTCTCTTAGACAACCCCCAGACAAAAGACTCGATTGTGCATAAATCAAAATAGCAGGAAGGCCGAGTTGGCGTTCGACCGTTGGACATAATGTGTTCCAGAATGGCCCTGTGACGCTCCTCTGGGTGTTTTGGTTAGCCCTAAAATATTTTTCCCTTTCTCTGCGAAGGCTCTCTAGTATTATATCACTCCCAGAGGGGTTGCTCAAGACTCCAAACGTTGTTCCAGTTGACATTACAATTACCACGCTGCCCCTACCAATTTAATTAGGGCTCGACGACACAGCGTTTGTTTAAAATTACACACACACATCAGGGAAAGCCTTCAGCACAGACAGTCACTGCGTGGTGTATGCAGAAGGAGCAGAACTGCGGTTTTACTATTAAATTGTATGGTTTACATTGTGTTTGACACGCCTGTGTCTGTAGCGCAGTGACCTGAGCTGCACCCTAAAACGATGACCTATTTAATCAGGCATAGTAAGCCTTCATCTCTGTTGAAGGCAGCTCAAGGCCCGCTTTCCCTCCTTGCTGGGACCTCCAGGGAGAAGCAGTGGTTACTTCCTCACATGGCAATTTCCTTCGCAAAGCAAACAAATGATCACTTTTATGAAAGGAATAGGGGACGGTAAGCACAGGGGTGTCAGCTTGTCACAGGCCACTATGAAGATGTCAGTATGTTAATCACACACACCCCCTCCCCCCAAAAAAGACACATCCAGCGTTGAGGTCAACGGCCGAGCCGGTGGCTCCTCACATGCTCGCACGTCACCATTTGTTTCCCCTGGAACACAAAACCCTCAGTTCTGCAGTTCCGCTACTGCTTCTTCCAGACTGGCGCCATCTTTGCCCTAAAGGACCGGCAAGACACAGGCAGGAATCATTGCAGGATTTATCATGCATGGTGTGACCACACACCTTTGTGATGGTGAAGCGGGTGTGGGTGAGAGAAACAGTGGGGCGTCGACACGACGGGGTGGAAGGGTAACAATGTCGAGCTGAAAATGCACGGTGATGGGGAACCAAGCTGCTCGCTAGAGTCACACAGCCATGACAGTCAGCAAGGAGGATGGCTGATGGAAAATGCCAGTGCCAGCGGAAGCATCACACGCACGCACAAGAAGAGAGGACAGACAACTGACATGCAGGGCAAATGGGGATGTGCACACTTACCACACCGGGGACACCCTTCATCTGTGACGCAAGCTGGAACCACTTCTCAGCTTCAGAAATGTTCCCGAGATCCTTGTGACACTGGTGGGATGAACACGACAAGGACACTCGATAAAGGACGGGGAGATCGGGAGAACGACAGTAATGAAGGCACTCCATCAAGCTCCTCATTTATATGTATCTGTGAGCTGTGTCTGTTACAAATGACCTACGCTCTTTGGCCTACCCATAATCCAGCTGTAAGTGCCTCAGAGAAAATCACAGCAGGCCACTGGCTCCAAAACCACCCCAGGGTTTACACAGAAGCCTACCTTACCCACAAAATATCTAACAGCACCACCCATATCCATTTGACTTCCTGAACAAGCTAGACCTGACTCACTAATACCTCTATCTGGACCCCACTGGCAGCAGTGTGTAAGCAAAGCTCTCATTCCATCAGTATATCATGGCACCACTATGGGGTTAAATCAAGCAGGGTAACCTTTCCCTCTGAGCACCACTATGGGGTTAAATCAAGCAGGGTAACCTTTCCCTCTGAGCCACTGTGGATACTGAGAGAACAGTGATGGTAGTCAGCCAGCACCTTGGAGGCCGTGAAACCTGCTTGACGTTGGTGATGACAGCAGTGATGGACCTAAGAAGCAGCAGCTCGGAACCCAGCCACTAAGCCAGTAGACGAAGGTATCAGCTGTGCTCACTTCTTCTTACTCGTTTGCATTATTCCCCTATTTCTTTTTTCCCCCAAAACGAATGGCAGCAGGTAGCTGTGGAGCACATTCCCAAAAGGGGATTGGGGTAAAAACATAAAAAGATGGCTGCCCAAACAAACAGACAGTGGCTATAAAAATGTGGCCTAAGCCTTCGTTTTGGGAGAGAGGGAGTATCAAACTAACCTAAGACCACCCTGTGTAAGAACAGAAAGAGGTCAGGCACCACGGGCAGGCTGCTCCTAGCCTGGTACTTTCAGCAGAGCAATTCAGAGATTATGCCACCCAGAGGTTGTTTTAAGAAGCTTGGAGGCAGCTGGGAAAGAGGCAGGAGAGCCATGTTGGCTGCCTACTGAGCCAATTCTGCCCACAGGTAAGGAAAGCTGGCACACGTCTGCAGCCAAACCTGCTCTAGCCCGAGGTGCCAAACCCGCCAGCCGCCCTAACCGTTTATCCCATCCATACACGTGCCGTTCACTCACACAAAGGGGGAGTTTTCTGTTACCTTGGCAATATAAAGCCTCAGTGTTTTGGAGGAGCTTGGGCACAACTCTTCGGCCTGGGCAGGGAGGAAAACAGAACAAGTTGTTAGAAAGCAAACGTTAAAGTATCTGATGTATTTTAGGCCCTGGTTGAAATCTTGCACAGCACCTCATTCAGTCACAGCACAGAAATCTGCAGGAGCTTGGTACACCAATACCACACCCATGTAAACAACCCCCGGAAGAAGGTAGCATGGGTCATTAAGATACTTAAAGAAGAGTACAGGCACATTTTAATTTGCCGCCTTCTCTAGTCTTCGGAGTGACATCATTAAGTCATTCAAGTGGGCTGGTGGTGTACAAATCAGCAAAACAACCAAACAAGCAAGACACGGGTCAAGATCACCACGGCGACAGCTAGTCTGCGGCTGCCAACCATGTTGCGGAGGCCAGACACCTCTAAGGCTGACCCAGTATCATACTACTGGCTTCTAGAAAAAGGCCCAGAAGGATTTAAATTGGTGAGCTGACAGTAGGGCAGGGACTGCTGTACCTTCAGGAAGTTCTCCAGGGCATCCTGCATGGTAGCGGTGGGTGGGGTCTCATACAGAGCGGCGGCAGCCTTCTTCTCAAGCCAACCCAGGGTGGAGATCTAGCAACAGGTGACAGATGATGTCAGGTGCACAGAAGAGTCTTCCAAGATGAGCCTCAAAAAGATGGAGTGCTCCACTTCAGCAGCCATCTCCCATAATTCCTCTTACACTGACAGACTGACAAGCCCTCCTAAGGATCCACCAGGCACATGCACAAACACTCAGCGAAGACTTAAGTGACAGAGCTGCACGCTGCCCTTCCTTGACTATAATTACACAGAGCATAAGGGCCAAGCCCTCAAATTGCAGTTGTGGTTGTCTTCACAAAGCACGACGCATAAAGCACCCCAGTGCACTGGAGAAAGATGCAGTCTCCAGTGGACAGACTGTCATATCAGCTCAGCGACAGAAAGTCAATGAGTCACATGTCTGGTGAGCAAAATCTGATGCCTCTTTCAAATCACGGTGGTTTTCATATAAAATAATAATCAGGGATGAACATAACTGGTACGCAAGTACGCATTCACCTTTAAAAACGATACATGAGACAATCGATTGTGGTAACAGTGTAAATGCGTACTTATTTTATGTACATTTGCTCTGATATGAAAACAAAATATAAAGCATCTTTATATGCTAACTCTACTTCATTTGCGTTATACAGGTGAAAATGCATTATATTTTGTTTTCATATCAGCGCAAACGCACATAAAATAAGTACTCATTTACGCCTTTACAAACAATCGATTGTCGCATGTATAATTTTTAAAGGTGAATGCGTACTTGAGTACCAGTTATGTCCATCCCTGATAATAATAGTACAATCTCAGGTCTTGTACTTCGGCTGCTATTTGTTTGTATTTAGTACATTGTTTATACATATATATTTATGTCCCTTCATATTGTACTTTTTTGTTCTGTGTGTTGTCAAATTCTGCTTATTACTTGATGCACAAATTTCCCTTTGCAGGGAAGTTAATGTTATTTTATCCTAAATGGTGCATGACAATGACAGTTTGAATCCTCTATCTGAGATCTTTTTTAAAAAGATGATTTGTATTAAGGGTGTAACGGTACATAAAATCAATGGTTCACAATACAAATCTTGTTTTTGAGTTTACAGTTTGGTGTAATTTTGACGTAGCAGGGAAAACAGAATTTGTTTTGAAGTTATTATTAAAACTGCAAAAACATAACCACAATTAGGAACAGTTGTAAACCAAAGGCAACGGATCTGTCAATGTGTCTATAAAACAAAACCTACTGTAAGAGACGCTTATCTGCACACCTTAAAAATAAATATGCATAATAAATGTAAAAACTGTAATAATCATCTGTTCTCTGCTACAGAGTATGGTCACATATATGCAGCAATAAACACTACAGCTGTACTTTTACTGTACTATAGCTGTATTATTTAAGCCTGGTCTGATTTTCCTGGCACCTTAAATAACACGGGGAGACTAACTTGCAGAGACTCTTTCTGCCTTGCTCAGATGATGTCATCTCAAATGAGTTAGCACGTTGGACGTGTTTCTAGCAACATATTAAGAGTCCGGTATAACAAAGCAGACAGACAGTCTTGGTCTTATCAATTGCTCTCTGTCACCAATGTTGGTATAATTTATTGGGCAACTGAAATGTTCCCAAACCACCCATTATGACTGACTATTACCAGCATTAGCTGCAACCAACGCAGCCACAATTAGCATGTTTTCTGTATTGAACATCTAGTTGTAAATTTAGGTACCTCCTACGTCAATAAATGTATTCATGTATTCAAACATATTTCATTGTGCATACCGGACCAAAAATGATGTACCGAAACAGCCCAAATTAGTATGAATGCTAATCTGCCAGTCAGGAGAGGTGGGTCTTGACTGGTCCAAACACACTAAGAGACACAACAAAAATGTACTCAATTATTTAAATAAAAAAAAGATATCTGTGCTTTCATAGAACAATACAGATTGTGTTTAATTTGGGACATGGTCGTAGGATGTTCAAATCTAGAAATATTACCATAACTATAAACAAGCACACAGTCGAGGTTGTGTTTACGCAGGTGGATTAATACAAATGAAACTGAGTAGAAGCAGGTCAAAGGTCATGGCTCTGCGGTCCACCAACCAGCTGAGGAGAATCTTACTCCCGACTGTGGATTAAGCGCAGATCTAAGAGTTTGGCCATGTGACTTTGCCCCATGGCCTCCGCTTCCAGGAGTACACAAGCGGAGCTCATGTGATGAAATACACTGGGCAAGCTGCTCTGAAGCAGAGAGCCAGCAGAACCAGGCTCAGGCCAAGGCATGGGTGCCAGTTGGAAAGAATGAAGGGCGATTAGAGGTTCCGCGGACATGGTGTACTCAGTCATGGTTAGTCTTTGAGGTTTAGGGCATGAGGCCTCAGAAAACTGCTCCGTTTTGAAGAAATGTTTGTTGCATATAATCCCTTGGGCTTTGAACTCAAATTTGCGGGAAACCCGTTTAATGAGCGAAAATGGGGTGTAATCGACTTCAAGATGCGATGGATCTGCTGTGAATACAGACACTTCAGCAAGAGAAATAAGAAACACTGCCAGCTGCTGTGGGTTTAGAGGGGTGGGTCGGTTTGTCCTTCTCTTAGCTCTGGGTCCCCCAGACTGGACTAAGATCTTTGCTGACCTGTGTTTACTGGTAACCACTGGCTCCTGACTGCTCCCTTGTTAGACCAAAAGGAAAGATGTAACTCATAACTAAATGCCAGTCCTACAGATCCTATCCAAACTGGACACTGAGAAGGCAAACTGTTATTCCTGATTTAGTTTTCCTGAAAGGGTCGTTAGTTAACTTGGAAAAATTTTGACTAGCACTGCCAACAAAATCATTTTTAGTCAGTGCCAGAATTCATGCTTGAAAAACAGACCTCATCAATTCTCCCGCTATCAGACTTGAATGGAAAAGACATGCATGGTGTGGGAGGGTTAGGGGCCAAGACCCAACTGTGTTTTAGCAACAGTTAGCTGAGTGTCATTAATTGTGGGTTATGCCAATATTTACCACAAAGACATTCAAAGCACCCAAAGAACAGGCATTGCCTACAAACCTCCTCCCCCCCCAAAGCACCCAAAGAACAGGCATTGCCTACAAACCCCCCCCGCCCCCCGAGCAGCACCAAGGCTTTTGCAGCTCTCTGCAAAGGACTGAAGACCCCTGGCTTACCTCATAGCACCACTTCCCCAGTAAGTAGAAGCACTGAGCATCTTCACGGTTCAACGCCATTGCCCGGTCCACATGTTCCTGAAAGATGTGAAAGATGGACCCAATGACTGGATGGTGGCAGAGGCTACGATGCGCTGGCTGGACTGACCTGGCCTGGGTGTCGCTACCTTGAGTATGAGGCTGCTTTTGAGTTTACTGTGCATGGTCTCATGGTGGGACGTCGTGCTGGCGAGAACTGCAAACCTGCAAGACACAGGGGCAGTCAGATTACTCTACTGCCTCTTCCTGTTTCATATACAAACTAGATCAAACCTGCAGGAGGTTCAGAGTGATTCACTGATGGACTGGCTCTCCAGGATGGTGGTGCCACCACAGAAACAGAGAACCAAGTAGCTTCTAGTTATACCTAGACAGCCATGTACCGTGTGCTGCCATCCAGGTCAAACCATACACCCGTCAGCTAATTTCTCTACCTAATCATGTATGGTGTGGGGGGGGTTATTTCTCTAATCACACTTTAAGCTCCTTGGATCAGGTTCCACACCCCTGTTATACAGTAACGGGAGAGGGCTTTAACAGCAATTTCATGGACATGCAAGTAAGGATCCCATCCAAGGGGAGACCTAAGAATTACTTATAATGCCTCAAATTAAATAGATGTCTAATTAATTAAGACAAACAACTAAGACTAAGCTTCCGGGAAAGAAACAAAGAATAAATTATGATTTTTTCCCCTTCATTAGCAATAGACATTCAATGTTAAAACAAAAGGAAATTGATATTTTTGGAAAATAAAATAACGAATCCAGTCACCAATGGAAACCCAATACATGTAGAGAGGGCCCAGAGACCACATTGGCGGAGTGTGGAAACCATTTATGAAGGATTTATAAAACTCTTACAATGTTTCCAGTCACGTAAATAGCAGTGGAGTGTCACTGGTCTTTGTCAAACACACTGGGGCAGCATGATATCAAGTCCATGAACAAGAGTGAAAATAACGGGGAGCCTGTTAATGGAACGAGCAGTAAAGAGGTATCTATAATAAGGATATTTTTATACACTGAGGGCCATTCTGATGTTCACCAGTAAGTATCCTGCTGCTGGAACAGTCTAATTTAGCAATAAAGGACTGCTAATAATATGCAGATGAATTTAGATCTGTCAGTAAAGCAGCCCGCTGTCTCCCTAGAAGACAAAAGGGCACAGCATCAGACCGGCTTAAGAGTACATGTGCGAGCAGCTCTGCAATGCCCAGGTGAATCTCACAGCATGTCTTCCTGTTTCCACTAGTGGAAACTGCATAACCTTGAGTGACCAAGTCTCCTGCAGTCCTCCAAGCCAGGTTCAGCAGATAGCCCATCTGAGACAGGCCTGCACTTTGGCTGACTCCTCGGCATCAAAGGCCCCTGTTCCCCCTGTGGACCCCCCCCCTTCCTAGTCCCACAGCCCCCTCTGCCAATCCTACCCCCCAGCCAGCCTGCCAGGAGGCTAGATGTATAGGCCCTGACAGCCCACCAACTCTGAGGTAGCGCTTCTCTGGGCTGCCAGTGAAAACAAACCGGGCTCTCCTCCGACTCCCTTGTGCCTGGCCAGAGTCATTCTACATCACAGAAGACCAGTGAGCACTGCCAACAGCTACACCATTGCTCTTCCTATTTTGTGAAGAAAGATTTTGTTCCTTTGAAATGAGCTGATTACAAAGCTGAAGCAACGGTGCATGGTGAGCGAGCAGACAGTTTCTTGAAAAGAAAATAAATGGGCACCCATGAGACGGGGCCAACAGTGGGTCTTGAGTTGAGACTGTGTGACTGCACAGAGGTGGCGGCTGGGGGTCACAGCTCTTCGCCATGCATGGGGACAAAACTGGGGAGCAACACAAGCAAGTACTGGAGGCAGCAGGCGAGATAAAAGTAACAGTCTTTTACTATAACAGTCAACAGTGCTACAGTCAACAGGGTCTGTGGTCTTCAACACATTCTAGAAGTCAGAGTGTACTTTTATAGGGTATTTAGCTTAACAAACAAGGTATCGTGCTCACACATGGGTCTGGAAGGAACAAAGAGGTCCATCCAGAGATAAAACACTATGCTCTGTCCTCCTCCCCACCAGACAGAATGAAATTGACTTCATCAGAATCCAAAAGCTCTCCTAAGCACCCAATGTGGATGCTTAGATGGTATATAACCACCAAGTCATGGAGGTATATAACCACTTGCCACCATGGTAACATTAGTAGTCATGGCAACAACGCAGATGTAAACAAGCTAAATTTACACCAATAAAAAAACCACAGTTCAGTGTCAAATCTATTGAAACGCCAGTGTGCCAGACTATGTCTCATAAGACTCAGTCCTACAGTATGACTGCAATCATATCCTTTCCTCCAAAATATCCTCCACCAAAGCCTCTCTCATTTAAGGCTGCCAGGATTAGTCGATGTAATCGATGCTGAAAACGCATTAACATCAATATTTTAAATCGATGCATCTTTTTTAAAAAAATGATTTTAATGAAATTACCCTTTTTATTTCTGACACGCTTCAATTCATTATGATCAATGTTTTCCTTCAATATCACTACATAATTATGGGAGTAGTTCAAACTATCACAAAACAAAAAAGTGGTTTGTGCGCAGTGCAAAGTTTGATGGCACACCACAGCTGCACTAGCGCTATGCATGAGCACCTGAAGAGGAAATACATATGTGCTATTAAGGATGATGGCCAGAACGGGCAAAACCACCGTAAGTGTTGTTTTTTCATGTTTATTAAAGTACAATTAGTATGGTGGCCTTTTAAATATGTTTTGTTCCTGTATCTGCTAAATACACTCATTACTAAAGCCATACACTTCCACCGAATAAGTGTTTGAGAAAATGTTTAAGCTAGAATCTGGGCTTATTCTGACTGCTTATATTGACTGCTGCTACCAGTGTGGCGTTCGTGCACGTTGGGCTTGTTGGGACCAGTGCTATTATCGTAAATTAAAAATGAAACGAAAATGGACGCTAGATTTTTAAAAATTATTTGTGAAATGAAATAAAAATGAAAACAATATTTACCAAAAACCAGTGTAACCAGTACCTTTACCCATCAACGCCTTTTTACCTTGTTTAACCACAATACCTCCTCTTTTACAACATGTTGTGGCTGCTGAGCCGTCCTATTCTTCACCACGACTTTAGTGCTTATTGCTTCCATGGTATACCAAAACGGTCGCATGGGCTGTGCTCTGCTAACTGAATTTATTAAGCATAAGGATGCGCCGAATTTATACAGATTACTAAGTTTTGGGCATCACATTATTGTCAGGTTTCACGAAGCAGGCGAGCAGGCAAGCAGGGTAGCAGAGCCGTAAAGACAGACAAACGGGGTTTATTGAGGGCAGGGGCGCCGCTAGAGATTTTGGGCCCCATGAAAGCATATCATATTAGGCCCCCCAGTCCAAACCAATCCAGTTATTTTCCTAATTTTTTAGGGCCCCTATCACTCAGGGGCCCTTGGAATCGTCCTAGCTTTCCTCCCCCTTACGGCGCCCCTGATTGAGGGATCCGGGCAAACATCGAACATCCAACGTGACACTACAATGACGGATCTGGGTAGACTGACTGAGACAAGGACTAAATACAAAAGACAAGCTACGGGTAACGAACCACAGGTGAGAACAATCAGGGATGAACACGAGGTAACGAGGTGGGCGTGGTACACATTAGGAGCGGACGGAGCGGGGCGTGACAATTATGCCTCTCATTATTATTTTAAGCATACTAATATGCTTATCGTTGCCGCATGTAATGTCCATATAGTGCCGAAAAAGCCGTCGCCCTTTATCTAAAGCCCTGCAGTGACATGCAGTTTGTTGTTTTCAAACTAAAATTAACTGAGATGAAACAGTCAATTCAATTCTCTGGAGGAAAACGAATTGTTTAGGTTAATCGACCAATTGGTAAAATAGTTGATAGACTAACTGTTGGAAAAATAGTCGTTAATGGCAACCCTACTCTCATTATCATTTTTTCCATTAGCAACAAAAAAAATCCTAATAAATAACCGAAAACAAAACAAACAAAACAAGTTGCCATGTCCTGAAGAGGGAGTTACGCAGCACTCAGAGCGCTGTTGTTTACTCCCCCTCCCCCCAATCCTCAGAATCCGTGCTCATGTGATTTTTAGTAGCTGCAAATTTTACAGACTTCAGATTTTTTGAAGTGCAGCTCCTGCATGCAGAACTGCTTCCGGATATCCAACGACATAATTCTGTTTAGCGGGGTAATTGATTATGCCATGTGTGGCTATATTTTACTGCCGACCGAGGTCAAAAGAGCAAGCTGCCGGCTGGGGCTGAATAAACAAACATTAACGAGATAAACGGAGAACATAAATACCGACTTTGGAATCGTTAAAAGGAAACCACCATCTCAATAAAAAAAACCCTCTTTCTGCTGCGAACACACCATTAATACAAGGAAAAATACCACTAGGCACTGAACCAATTAAAGCCTAGAAGTTTGCCAGGGGTGTATGAAGGAGGCACGGCTGTTTAGAAATAACAGCAATGGTAAATTTTGTCTGGCTTCAAGCAAAGGGACAGCGGCATCAGGACTGGATGGGACACAGATGACTATGTGTTTGGCTCTGAGTTTCTCTTCTTCCTGCAGAGGTGTCGCTGATACCTGCGCCAGCGACCGGCTCTGCCAATCCCAGAAGCCATACAGCCCCTCAGCGCAAAATTCTCCCATGTACCCCTCAGTAATTAGATCTCAGTGTTACACAAGTCCCCTGTCATCTCTGCAGGTGTCGCACAGCGAGTTGTTCTTTGCCGAAAAATGTTACAAAACGAACAAGAAATAATGAAAAATAATTTTTCGGGAAATTACACAAGCAGCAAATTCCCAGTCCAATGTAAATGACAGGGACTGTGGTCTGGCAGCAAAGGTGCCTCAGGCTGATGTAATCGCAGGCCCTGAAGGAAGGCTCTTACGCAACATTAGAGAAACATGGGGTGAACTGATTGATAGAAACCCAGCTCAGAAAAAGCCCAAACATTCTGTTTGAGCAGCAGATCCCAACTTGGGCTCAATTACAAGGCATTAAATAATAATGGGTAAGATAATGGGGAGGCATTACAGCAGAGGAAAACGTGAAGAGATTGTTTATCCAAGACCCCGGTTGTGTCATGATGTTAGGATGCCCNACCAATTCCATGTGATGTCACCCTCATGCTTGCCCGAGTGCTCAAAG